ATCATCTCAGGATGATCATGAATTAATAAATGAAATTACCTTTAAGATGATTGTCAGATATAAGTGGAAACACACAGTATCTGCCTTTCTCTGTCTGACTTTATTTCACTAAGTGTGGAATATAAAATATAAAATGAACAAATATACCAAAGCAGAAACAGACTTACAGATACAGAGAACAGAGTAGAGGTTACTAGAAAGATAGGGATGGGGCAGAACAGGTGAAGGGGATTAAGAGGAACAAACTACTAGGTATAAAAAAATAATGGTACAAGGATGTACTGTACAATACAAGGAATATAGTCAATATTTTATAATAACTTTGTATGGAGTATAATCTGTAAAAATATTGAATTACTATGTTGCAGTACTGAAACTAATATATCAATAGTATTTTAAATTAACTATACTTTAATTTTTTTTAATGTCAGAAAAGAATAGTAACTGTTATAAATGTGAAATTGAAACTAAACCCTTCAGAGAAGTTCCATACTTCTGATTTGCCAAGGGAACAAATTTATGTCATCCTTGTCTTCATTCAGTTATCTTCATTTGCAACAAATATTTAACAAGCATCAAGTACTCAGATACCATTATATTATATTAGCAACATTGTCTAATACTGATTCACTTGGCAAAGGCCTTTCTTGCAATGCAACCAATACACTTCAAAACAATTGAAAACACTACAACTGTACATTTGTTAACAAACTTTATCTTAATAATCCATGTTTCTGTAATGAATACACACACAGAGAAAAGTGTATGAACTCATATAAAGTAAACACATGAAAAGTAGAGAGGGATGGAGAGAGGAGGGCTGGTAAAAAGACAGCTGAATTCATTAGTTTCTATAAAATTTAAAAATATTTCCACTCAGTCAAATTTATTCTCTGAAAAATGAAAGTGATGTGTAAAACTTTGCCCACATCACAGTAAACAGAGTCTACATTGGGAAGGAGGAGAGGAAAGTACTGGTTGTCAGGAAGTCATCATAGTCTCTACCAAAACTGTTATCAGTGACAGCTGGTTTCCAAAAGGGTAACTTCAAGGAACCATTAATCAGAGAATAATGGGAACAACAAAAGGCAATGCTTCTCAACGGTTTACCATACTATTAGCAATAGATTCCTGTGGCATATATACTATGTGCATGAATACTGTGCTGGGTCACATGTTCTCAATAAATATGTGGTGTGTGTGTGTTAGTCACCTACTCATGTCTGACTCTGTGATTCCATGGACTGACTCCTCTGTCCATGGAATTCTCCAGGTAAGAATATTAGAGTGGGTAGCCGTTCCCTTCTTCAGGGGATCTTCCCGACCCAGGGATTGAACCTGGGTCTCCTGCACTGCAGACAGATTCTTTACCACCTGAGCCACCAGGGAAACCCAAATATATGGTAGATTGTGGTAAACTGATTGCACTAATATTTCTAGTTTTTAATTCCTTGTATTCATGTCCTTTTATAGTGCCCTCTCCCACTGCCTTTGGGCCTGCCCATGTGACATGTTTTGATCAAAGGAATAGTTACAAACTTGATGTAAGCAGAGGCTTGAAAAGGCACTCATGTGGTTCTGATTTCAGTAGGTATGGAAGGGCAGAGCCCAAGCATGAGCATTTTGAAAACACTCCTTAGGTGGTTCAGATATGCACTCTTCTTTAAAAATCTCTGACTTGGAACATTCATAAGTCCTGAAGACTGTGAATGCAGTAGTTCAGGATACTTATATAATCCTAAAACATTAATACCTGAGAGAAGCTTTCACGGAAATGGATTTTTAGATTCTGAAACCATAGAAAATACTTGATCTTATCCAACCTGTAGCACTAAGAAATAATATGAATTATTTAATCAAGCAATTTTAGAGCTGAAAATGCCTTTAGAAACCTAACCCACTTATTTTGCAAAAGAAGAAACTGGTCCACCTTAAGGAGCAGTGGAAAGAACAGGGCCACATCTCAGGCCTTAGTTTTCAGTTCATCAAAGAAAATCTAAGTTTATTTTCAAATGTTAGTTTTAATCTCCTCTACAATTACTAATTTCACTAAAGTGAATTAATTTGAGATTTATCTCCTTTTATATTTTTCCCACTCAGTAGTAGAGATGCTAATGAATGTGAAATAGTAAAAAAAAAAATATAAAAGCTTCTTATAGTGTCAGGAAGAAAGAACAACAGCAGAAATCGGCAGGCATAAACTATACAAAGATTTGGGAGAAAAGGGTCCTAGACAGAAGAAATAGCAAGTATGCATGAGGAAGAATAAGAGAGTCAAATGATTCGAGTGAGATAAGAGACACAGAAAATTGAAGGAGATGATGGCAGAAAGATTAGTAGTCTCTGTCCTATAGTTATTTGGATTCACCTCTTTCCCTCACTACAATTATTTGCAAAATCTTTGATAACTACACTTTTCCCCACAGAAGACAGGAAGTCCTTTAGGAGACTCTCCCTACAAAAAGCTATGACCTCAAAGGGCTACACTCTCAAGGAAGGGTAAGTGGTCTTTCAGCCTGGAATCCTGTCATTTTTGTGGTTCAGGGAACTTAAAAAGTGAATTTGGATTAAAGTGAACCTAGACTGATAGTAACTTCAGGCATCTGGTAGAAACAAATCCAAGTTATTTTGAAGGAAGTTACTTTAATCTATGACTTAAGTTATTCTTACAGGTAATTTCCAGGTACAATGAACAGCAAATACTCAAGGGCAACAAGGCACGCAAGGGGAAAAGAAAACATGCAGAGTCAATATACAATGGAAATAGACCTATAATGACTTTATATACTGTAATTATTAAACACATACTGTGAATAAACCATAGTTACTATAAAAATTTATATAGAATTTTTAAAGAGAAAATATTTTAAAGAGAAAATATTTAAAGAGAAAATTTTTAAAGAGAAAAATATTTATATAGAATTTTTAAGGAGAAAATATTCACAGTTTTGAAAAAAAACTGTCACAGTGTTTTGCACATAAAAGGCATTAAATAAATGTTTGTGGACTTAAGTTAATGAACATCTTGGCTTTTCCATGTCAACTACTACTTCATTCACTCATTTTATCCAACAAACATTTTTGCCTATTCAGGGTGTTTCATGCAATACTTTCAGTATGAAGGATATGATAGTAAACGATATACACACAGGGTTCTTGCTCTCAAAAACTCTCACATCTAGTGGGAAACATATAGGTAGACAGCTAAATATAACCTGGTGGCATTAGTACTCTATCAAGGACTATAATAGGACTAGATAAGTGAACATACAAAACTCCCAAGAGCCTTCCAAACACAGCTCTTCGTGGTCCTTCTTATTCACCCAAGGATGTGAAAGATTTGTGCAATGAGTCTTTATTTAGGGAGAGCTGCCTAAAAGGTTCCAGCAGATTTTTCCATGATCTTCTGGTCACATTACCAAGCCAGACTGTCAAACTAGCTACACCAGCTGTAAAACGTCAATAAACTGGCCCTAGATCAGGAATAAGACAAGGGTACCCACTCTCACCACTCCTATGCTGGAACAATCAGACAAGAAAAAAAAAATAAAAGGCATCATAATCATAAAGGAAGAAGTAAAACTTTTTCCATTGGTAGATGACATGATTTTATATAGAGAAAATTCTAAAGATTCTGCCAAAATATTGTTATATCTAATCAAAAAAATTGAGTAAAACTGCAGGATAAAAAAAATCAACATTCAAAAATCATTAGTGCTTCTATACACTATACACTTCTATACAGTAATAACGAATTATCTGATAAAGAAATAAAGAACAATCTTATTTACAACTGCATCAGAAACAATAAAATACTTAGGAATAAATCTAACCAAATTGGTGAAAGATCTCCACACTGAAAACTATAAGACACTGATGAAAGAAACTGAAGAAAACACAAATAAATGGGATGATATTCTGTGTTCATGGACCGGAAGAATTAATATTGTTAAAATGTTCATACTATCCAAAGCCATTTATAGGTTGAATGCAATCCCCATTGAGTCCAGTGGCTTTTTTTTTAACAGAAATAGCAAATCCAATCAACAACAAAAGATTCAGAATAGCCAAGGCAATCCTTAGGAAGAAGAACAAAGCTGGAGGCATTATATTTCCTGATTTCAAACAACATTACAATGCTATAATAAGCAAAATGGTATAGTATTGGCATAAAAAAGACATGTATCAATGGAACAGAATTGAGAGCCCAGAAATAAGCTTTTGCATATGCAAATAACAAATATTGGACAGGGGAGCTGACAATACTCAGTGGAGGAAAGAGTTTCTTCAATAAATAATGCTGGGAAATTGGATATTTGCATGCAAAAGAATGAAGCTAGATCCCTACCTTACAGTGCTCACAAAAATTAATGGGAAATAGATTAAATGCAAATGTAAGGTCAGAAACCATAAAACTCCTAGAAGAAAACACAGGGGGAAAGTTTCTTAATATTGATCTTGGCAATGATTTCTTAGATATGCACAGTTAAGAAAGTAAGAAATAAAGAAATGGGATCATATCAAATTGAAAAGCTTCTGCATAACAAAGGAAACAATTGACAAAATGAAAAGGCCACTTACAGAATGAGAAGAACTATTTGGAAGCCACATACATGATAAGGGATTAATATCCAAAATATATAGGGAACCCATATAATTCAACAGCAAAAACAAAACAATTCAATTAAAAATTGGGTGAGGGACACAAATATACATTTTGCCAAAGAAGATATACATACAAAGGCCCATGAAAAGGTTCTCAATGTTACTAATCAGCAGAGAAATGCAATTCCAAACCACAAAGAAACATCACCTCACATCCATTACACTGGCTGTTATCAAAAAGATAAGAAATAAAAATGTTGACAAGGAGGCAGAGAAAAGGGAACCCTTGTACACTGTTGGTGGTAATCTAAACTGATACAGCACTATGGAAAACAGTATGGAAGTTCCTAAAAAATTAAAAATAGAACTACCAACATTTTCCAATAACTGACAAGGTGGCAGAAGTGAAGCGAAAGAAGCAGACCTTCCACAAGTCCACCTACTTCTGGCGTGGACCTCGACCAGCTGCTGGACAAGTCCTACAAGCCGCTGGTGCAATTGTAAAGCGCCTGACAGCAACCATGGCTGAATTGGGCCTGTGGAGGAAGCAGCATCCCATGGCTGAAGTGCCTGCACAAGGCCAGAATGAGGCGCCGCCCATGGAGAAGCCTAAGGTTGTGATGACACACCTATGGGACATGATCATCCTGTCCAAGATGGCAGGCAGCTACAATGGCAAGACGTTCACCGGGGTGGAAATCAAGCCTGAGATGATTGGACACTGCAGGCAGGTTCTCAATGACCTACCAGCCTGTGAAGCATGAGCTGCTCAGGCATCAGGGGCATCCACTTCTCTAGCTTCAACCTCTTCAAGAAGCCTGCTTGGCCAATAAAGGCACAGACTTCTCTAAAAAATAAATAACTGTTAAAAATAACAATAGGATATAGGGTTATCATTACCATCTTTCTAAATTCCATATATATGTGTTAGTATGCTGTAATGCTCTTTATCTTTCTGGCTTACTTCACTCTGTATAATGGGCTCCAGTTTCATCCATCTCATTAGAACTGATTCAAATGAATTCTTTTTAACGGCTGTGTAATATTCCATGGTGTATATGTACCACAGCTTCCTTATCCATTCATCTGCTGATGGGCAGAGAACAGCATGTATATTATCTAGGGTGAAACAGATCACCAGCCCAGGTTGGGTGCATGAGACAAGTGCTCGGGCCTGGTGCACTGGGAAGACCCAGAGGAATTGGGTGGAAAGGGAGGTGGGAGGGGGGATCTGGATGGGGAATACATGTAACTCCATGGCTGATTCATGTCAATGTATGACAAAACCCACTGCAATGTTGTGAAGTAATTAGCCTCCAACTAATAAAAATAAATGAAAAAAATAAATAAAAATAAAAATAGAAAAAAAAAAATAACAATAGGACTACCTTATGATCCAGCAATTCCACTTCTGGGTATATATCCAAAGGAAATAAAATCACTATCTCAAAAAGATATCTGCACCCATGTGTTCATTGCAGCATTATTTATAATAGCCAAGACAAGAAAATGCCTAAGTGCCCATCCACATGAATGAATAAAGATGTTTTGAGATATTTTTATATATATATATATAGGCTTCCCTGGTGGCTCAGTGGTAAAGAATCCACCTGCAATGCAGGAGACGCAGGAGAGGGGTTCAATCACTGAGTCAGGAAGATCCCCTGGAGGAGGGCACGGTAATCCACTCCAGTATTCTTGTCTGGAGAATCCCATGGAGAGAGAAGCCTGGCAGGCTATAGTCCATAGAGTCACAAAGAGCCAGACATGACTGAGGCAACTGTGAACACACACACACACACACATATATATATATGAATATTATTCAGCCATTAAAAAAATAAAATCTTGCCATTTGCAACAATGTGGATGAGGGCATTGTGGTAAATGAAATAAGTCAGATAGAAAAAAAATACTATATGACCTCAATAATACATATAATCTAGTAAAACTGATCTCATAGAAACAGGGAACAGATTGGTTGGTTGCCAGAGGCAGGGAGTTGCAGAGGTGGAAGGGCACCTGGGTGAAGGTGGTCAAAAATAGATACTTTCAGTTATAAGATAAATTGAAGTTCTGGGGATGTAATGTAAAACATGGTGACTATAGTTAAAAATGCTGTATTGAATATTTGAAAACGTCTAAGAGGATAGATCTTAAAAGTTCTCATCACAAGAAAAAAAAAACCTACATGAGGTGGTGGATTTAATTAAACTTACTGCAATCATTTCACAATATAGACACATATCAAATCTTATGTTTTAGACCTTAAACTTATACAATGCTGTATGTCAATTATATCTCAATAAAGCTAGAAGAAAAAAGTTAAAATAAACCAGTCCTAGGTGCTGCTAGGAGAGTGTCCAACTTTCAACAGCATGTTACACATCATTAGTTAGCCCACTGCCCTTATCTTGGCCAAGAGTCAGTGTCAGTCATGTTCCAGTCTAGCTGTAAAATAATTCTATCCTTTGCAGCTACAAAGGTGGTAGCCTAGAGAAAATGCTGCTTAAGCCAAGTTTTGATGAATAAATAGGCATTTATGTTCTTTGTGAATTTAGTAGTGCCTGACATTTACTTGATAGTCAATAAATATTAAATACTTGTTAGTTGCTAAATGAAGAAAGAAAAATAATTTCTGACTAAATTCTGTAGTAGTTTAAATTTTCTTCCTTTAGCATTTGTATTATCTGTAAAATCTTTTGCCAGCCTGTAAGATTATAAGGTCTTACTATTTGGGGAATGAGCTCAATTTAGATCTGAGAAGCAAGATTTATTCTTATAATAACCAAAGCTATCTTTTTTTAGGTCCTTCGGTGGCTCAGTGGTAAGGAATCCTCCTGCAGTGCAGGAGTCACAGGAGACATGGGTTCGATTCTTGGGTCAGGAAGATCCCCCAGAGGAGGAAATGGCAACCCACTCCAGTATTCTTGCATGGACAATCCTATGGACAGAGGAGCTTGCAGGCTACACTTCATGGGGTTCCAAAGAGTTGGACACGACTGAAGCAGCTGAGCACATACAAACATTAAGTGCTTTAAATTTGTTATTTTACTGAATTTTGACAATCACTCTATGTAGTATCTATGTCATCTCTGACTTGTTGATGAGGAACAGATGCAAAGAGGCTACATAAATCATCTAAAGTCAAAGAGCTGTTAAAAAGGAGAAGCACCAAAGCAAGATCAGCCTAACTCCAGAGCCAGGGCTCAGCAACTATAGCAGATTCCATCATGCTCCAGTCATATCCATGCTTGCCCACAGCATTCCACTGCAAGGTCCCATGATTTTCCACCTGAACAGGGCAAACCACGGGTACTGGGGATTTAATGTCCCACAGAACAGTGTGCAGCCAGGGATGAAAATGGAAGATAGATGCCCCTGCTCACTTACCCCTTGAGTAGGACAATTCTGAAATGTGTTCCAGAGGTCCCTAGCAAGACTTGCGTCCCTACCATCCTACTGATAGTTCCTGGGAAAAGATCACCTCCCCAACAAATCACTTGCATTTAATTCCTTCCCTGAGAGTCTACTTATGGTGCAACCCAGCCTAATACCACATGGCCTTACCTTCCCTCCCAGCATTAGTTCACAAGTAACCTGAAAGGTCACCCAGCTGCGTCTCCTAAACATTGCAGTTTTCTACATCACTGACAGACAACCATCAGATCCTGCTTATAGAATTCCAGGAAAAAAGAGCTGAATATCAGCATAACAATCTATTTTACTTATTTCTTACTTGAATTGAGAAAAGCCACTCTTTCATGTAACTGAAAACTCTGCATTGTCGCTCAGTCCTCTAGAGCTAAGGCAAAGTATTTCCCCTTCTACTTGTCAGTCTTTTGCATATCTGAAGACAGCTTTCCAGTCCTCCCCAAGTCTTCCTCACCCTGATTTTTTCAATGTTTACTTATGTAAAGGACCTGATTAAGAGATAATCAAAACTCTGGAAACACCTTTTAAGAGTTACCTGACATAGTCCCCCTTCCTGAAGCAAGGCTAGATCTAAGTCACTGAAGACAGATGGTAAATCTGTGCTCAATATAAATTTGAAGACTTCTTTTTTCCTGGAAACCACCCAGAATTATGCCCCCCTTCCCCCCCCCACCCACAGCTCTATTTCCTAATTATAAAGTAGAAAAAGAAGGCTAATTGGAATTCATCTATGGCATGGCAATTTGCAGTAAAATATTAAAATTCATTTTTATGGGATTTTCAATTTTAGGGTTTGGCAATGATGAAAAGCACCCAGATCATGGGAAAAAAGGAACATGATTGCTGTCTAATTCTGTGATCTTTCTAAGGGTAGAAAGTATGTCTTTTTCCTTTGAAAAAACTGTCCAAATTTGAAGAACTCAAAATTAACATGAAACTACTTCTTTCATAAGTGCTGGCATTATCAGCTTTCAAAGAAATGAACTACTCTCCATCATTATGTACAAATTTACATCATTATGTAAATGTCATCTATCCATCTCTAAGCCTTTTACAATGAATTCATCTTTTATTCATCTTGCGGGTGTGCACTGGGCATTTGTGCCATGTCCAAGATAGTCACTTTAGAGAGGGTCATCTTAAGAATTTTGTTTTCCTGGCTTTCTGTTAAGGTCTTAGAAAATTGTTGGACTAACACAACTAACAGCAAAGTGTCCTTACTGTTAACTTTTCCAAGTACATGTCCCTTGGACTTATTATAACATCTGTCTTCTATTTAAAAATAAACCGTTGGGTTTTGAGTAAGCTCAACCCTTAGCAAGACTGGGAAGAGTGTATCAAATCTGCCCGTTCTCTCTGGAAGATGATGCCTCCTTTGCCCATCATTCATTGTACATCAGGTGCCTTCTTACTCTCCCTATTCACCTGCTCTTACTAGTTGATCTTTTATGAATCATTTACACCTTAGACATGTTAAAAGAAAAAAGAAATCTCTTTACCATGATGTGAATTAAAAGGTCTTCTCCACTGTCAAACGCATTTTAAAAATCAACCCAAAGATATGTGAGATATCTGGAGGCAGGAATGTGCTTTCTTTGCCCTTAAAATCACCTATGATCAGTCAGCTACCTACACAGAAGGCAGGTCCTGTTTTGAAACCTCTAGGAACACTGGAAACCTCTAAGGTGTTCACAAAGTCAGTGCTGGACTGACTGCATTAAGATGACAGGAGTGTTTACAAAATCCAAATGCCTGAGATGCATCACTGGACATTCTGAATCTCTAGGTATGGGGAAAGAATCAAGGGAGGGAGAGAAGAAGAAAGTTAACAAATAATTGTGATATACACCAGGTCCAAGTTTTCCTAATGATATATGTCCCAAGCTTATGAGATTTCCTCCTCTGAAGCCTGCTCTGAAAGTTCATCTGCCTACATATGGCTGTGCAGAATGCCAGAAGTCTCCTCAATGTTAACAAGCATGCCTATTTGGGTGGCAGGGGAGATAAAGCAAAGAGGGGTATGATAATCATCCTGCTTCATAGAAAACAAAGTACAGTGTTTCCTCAAGTCAGTTATCATTGTGAGTCCAGTGGTTTCATATTTAAAACCTAGAATTCATAAAATTAACATAGTGTTTAATTAAGGCCTTGAACATAGTTTTTAATCTTCATTCTCTCCCAAATAGACATTTGTTGAGGTTTCTCTGGAGCCTCATATCAGATGGATTACAGTGCTTTTGTTATAGTATTTCCCAGACACTCTTGGAAAATGGAGCAATATTTTAGAGGCTTGTCAAAATTTTTCAATGGGGATTAAGAAAATTCTGCC